GAGCCACCGGGTTCCGTCGCTATCTAAAGATCATTGGCTTCCGTTTATTTTCTTACAGGATTTCATCCTTTTCTTTATTGTCTGGTTTTTTTATGTTTTCATCTCTCTGGTTACAATGGAATCTCGAAACCGTTTATGCCGGGCTATTACTGATTTATTTATGGCTTGTACTTATTTGTCAATTCCCCTCTCAACTAATTCTTGTTTTTCTTTAGGGTCTATTAGATATAACCCCCTTAAACATTCAAATAATATGGGTAGACCCAAATTTAAATTTGTCATTTTGATAAAAGCCCAAGGTTTTCGTAATTACATAATTACCCTCAATCAAATCCCACAAATCCCGTTGCTTTACCTTTTGAAATAATATCAAATCCCTTCCTATTTTCCCGTTAACACACTATCACCCCAAAATCCACTATCAAATAAACTGCAAAAACCTCCCAGAACCACTTCCCGGTACGGCCGATCGAAAGGGGAAGAAATCTGCACTGCCGTGAAACGACGATTTTCGTGGACTCCGAGCAAGCCGCCGTAGGTACGTCTTCGCCGGTCGCTGCATCGCTATCGTCCATCGATTTGTTCATATGTTTTGGCTAAATCGACTATCACGTTTGTATAATTGCAGATCTGTTATAATCGCATACCGAATTCAAGCACTAAATCATTGATATTGCAACAATTGATGGGCAGGACATCCACCAGAAGTGATATCGTCGTTGGCCGCCGTCGTCGTCGCCGTCACTGCTCCAATCTAGGGTTACTCAAATCTAGGATTACTCAAATCTAGGGTTTTGATAATTCTTCGGCCCATAGTTGATTAACGAGATGCATAGTCGAACTACATCTGTATTAATATACTATCCCATATCATTTAATAGACTATCCCACTGGTATAATTTTACTATGGATCTCGTTAATCGACTATGGGCCGAAGAATCATCAAAACCCTATATTTGAGAAGTGACGGCGGCGGATTTGTGTTCTAAAATTAATAGACTATCTCATATCTTTTAATAGACTATCCCATGTATCTAATTCGACTATGGGTTTAGTTAATTGACTATTGGAAAAATAATAATATATATGGAAACTGAATAATATGTTTGTTTGAAATACTAATCAATTAGGGTAATTTTCCTTATTATATGAAAACGATTAGGGTAAATAATAATATATATGAAAAAATAATAATATATATGGAAACTGAATAATATGTTTGTTTGAAATACTAATCAATTAGGGTAATTTTCCTTATATCATGTAATAGACTATCTTATTGATCTAATTCGACTATGGATCTCGTTAATCAACTATGGATCCCGTATTATTCAACCACATAGTATATTAATAATTTCAATATAGTACATTAATCTGCTATGATAGTATATTACGGTTATAGTAGTGATATGAAATTGTGTTACAAACAATATACCACTGAAATGACAAGAACATTGAGAACAACACCAACGTAAAGTATTCCACATAACCAATAAAATAGTACATTAATAATCTCATAATTTCAATCTAGGGTTTTGATAAAATACATAAAACACATCATAACACAATCAAACCAATATGTCGAGTTAAAAAACTCTAGTACATTAATAATCTCATAATAGTATAATAAAATAATAATGGTAGTATCATACGGTATTCATAATAGTATACTACTGTATTACAACGGTTTAACACTTAACCGAAGTTACCGAGCCATTACATCGTAAACACCTCTTTATAGCAACCAACCCACCAAACCTCAACAAAATCCGTACGAAATTCGCCATCGAAAAAACCTAAAATCATGAAACAAAATTAAAAATGCAGAATACTAAAAAATGATTAAATAGACTGCAAATACATTTGAATGATAATACATTAATATCATCAAAAATAAACTTAAAATGCAAAATCCATACGCTAAATTAAAAAAGACTACGAACTATATTTTAATGTACTACCCAGCACACTTAAATCGGCTGTTATAAACAAATAAACCAACTATCGATCGGGATAAAAACATGAACTCGACCACAGCGGACAATTATTCCGATTATTGCATAAACCAACTACGAAGCTCATATAAAACAACTCTGGTCCGATTTGCGTGAACCATCCTCTTCTAACTCTGTCAATCCTCTTCCGAACAAACATCATCGGCCAAAAAAAACGATATATATATATATATATATATATATATATATATATATATATGACGGAATAATTTTGTTAAAAAACGTTCTACTTAATAGAATCAAGTATCAACACAACTCTTAAAAATTTCTAACCACCGTACACGACAATCATGGACATTGAGCAAAAAAAAAAACGAATAACGCATTCATACCCGCTTAACAACGTCCAACAACAAACGCTCAAAAATCGATCCTATTTCCACGACGGTGCAGAAATCTTCAAAGACGATAAAACCCGTTGGAACGATGAAGAGAATCTTCAAAAAATATTGTACACGATTTGATATAACGGCCAATGATCTCACGTAAATTTATTCCGTGATTTTAGGCAACGTATCAGCAAATCTCAAATCACGTATTAAAGGAAATAAATGCCGTTTAATAATAAAACAGGGGTATTAAAGGGAAATTATATAATATATTTTGCCAAGTTGGCAAAATTGGGTGTATCTCAAAAAGGGGAAAAAAAATTGGATCTACCTCATTATAAAATATGAACAAGGGGGTTTTCCCTAATAAACCCTTTTCTTTAATTCTTCTTAAAATGGTAGAGGGCAATTTAGTACTTTAACAAAGGGTTCTTCTTACCTCTGGATGTGGCCCGTGGTCAACCGAACTGTTAAATGGGTCATTGGCTTTTGACTCATAAATGTGACCTAACCGTATGTATCCGGGTCGGTTAAGGGTTGAATTTACCCAATCTGTTACGGTTGACCCACAATTCGAACCGGCATTTTGAATCGGCGAGGTTGGTCTGTCGGTTCAACAATTATTATTATTATTATTATTATTATTATTATTATTATTATTATGAGTTAATTGCAAATACCACCGCTGTGAAATCTCTAATTATCAAATACCCCCTTTCAAAAAAAAATTCGCTCATACCCCTCTTTGTAATATTTTTCGAAGCTCACAGCACCCATTATCATTTTAATGGTTGACTGAAGGTAAAAAGACAAGTATACCCCTAAGTGGAATAACATAAAATTATAATAATTTAAGAGGCCAAATTGGAATTTTGTTAAACTTCTAAAACTTAAATTGGGGGACTAAATTGCAATATTCCAAAATCCATCTCTCAATTTTCTGCAATTTTTCCCAATGGCAGCCCAATTCCTCACCTTCCTCTCAATTTCCAATCATACTTATCATTCACCGCCGCCGCCCAACACGCACCACCACATCCATCAATTGTTTAGGCTTCTTCAAGCTCGGAATTTTTTGGTGGCGGTGTAGAAGCTCGCGGCTTGATCGATTTTGTCGATTTCTGATGAAGGGTCTGTAGATGGCTATGGAATGCGTTTTTGCAGGTCTAAAAATGGCGGCGGGTCCGGCGATGTTGTTGTGGAAGTAGAAGGGAGAATTGGAGTGGGGATGGGCCAAGGTTTGGACTCGCTTCTCCCAATTGATGGCGGCCCATTTCGCGGCGGAGGTGCAGCAGTGGGCGGCGGAGGGCCGAAAATTATTACGCCTGGGGCGGCGAAAATGGAGGCCCATAAAGAAGTTGTAGCGGAGTAATTTCGTAACCGTCAAGAGGGAGTTTTGTTACACCATCTTCATCTTGCGGCTGGTAGCGGTAATCCTTGGTGGGTACCGCTACATGTTGGATGATGGAGAACGAAGAATGGTACATGTTGGGGACGATGGAGAATGAAGAACAGGGAGGGAGAGGGGGCTTGGGGAAATTTTTGACATTTCATAATTGAAAATTAAGAAAAAATCGCAGTCGCAGCGCGTGAGAGACACGATTTGCTCTCAGGGTCTCAAGGCCTTGACTTTTTGTTTACACATGGGGTATGAGCAAATTATTTTTTGACAGGGGATTTTTGACAATTAGAGATTTCACAAGGGTATTTGCAATTAACTCTTATTATTATTATTATTATTATTATTATTATTATTATTATTATTATTATGATGATGTAAGTAAAATCAAATGGATGAATTTACTTGGTTCGATTGTCATAATTGGTATGTTTTTCTTAATGCCAGTTATTTATTAT